ATGTATGAGGTAACTGCTGAGACACTTAACTTCCTGACCTCAGTGAATCACGTAGCGAGCTAAATATAAACCGGCAGCAACTGACTACAGATTCTCCAATGGGCACTGAATCGTTGAACTGATGACATGGCAGTTCAAAAGCAAAGTTTACCCTCCTTTGCTTCCATCATTTCTGTGTTGTCATTGTGTTTTACTGTATTGGGTTTATTAGAGTTGAACTAGAGTTGAACCAGCACAAGAGCAGATTAAATGATCTTGAAAGACATACAGAGAGCAAGCAGCCGTCTAACGACCACGCGGAGATTGCACTCGTCCATAATGCTCTTGGTGAGTTTTGTTGATAAAAATATGTATTATCACAGCTCATTCAAATTCAGTCTTCATATCTGCGTAAACAATTTATCCAAACAAGTAAAACGGTTAGGAGTAATTAACCAATTCTTCGTTAGGGAATCGTGTGAGAGCTTCACCCAAATCTATGGTTTCGAGGTCAAGTTATTTTGCCTCACAAGCTTATGTAGGTATTTTTGGAAGAATTTAAAAGGAAAGTAGTTCCACATTTTTAGGTTGGCTTCCAGAAGTAAAAGTATGAGGGGAATAATGAGCAAGTAAAGGGATGAACAGAAAAATCCGAACAAAATCTTAAACAACTTCCGGAATAATTGAGTCTATCTCAGCCGGTGTTTGGAAAGCTTCCTTTCGGCTGAAGGAAACAAATCGAATGTTTCAGATCACTAGTATTCAGCTTTGCAGGAAACACTGTAAAGCAAATACTTGCAGGAAGTGTAGTGTGTGCGTGGTCTGACTGCTTCCCGTTTGCTGAAGGCTCACAGGTCAAGTTCTTTTCGTGCAGGTTAAAAATTTTAGCTGAAAACGTTGATTGACATGTAGTTTATAGTCCAGAGATCTCTTAAAATTTTTCATCCTTAAGAATTATACAACAACGCGAAAATCTTCGTACAACTACCTTACCATGCGACTCAGTCTCTGGTTGTGCGATTCAAATGTTTGTCTTTACTCAGTTTGTCCGTCGGTAACAGATTGTCGCTTAATGGAAGTTCAAATTTCTTAATATCTTGTTTTTACTATCAAGGAAGACATCAGATGAAGTTATCCACCATAAAGTCTGTGACAACTTTTCGGAACATTAATGAAAAACATCAGTTGTCCGAAGATCCTTTTTACTCTTATGAAAACTTACAAACTTGTATACGGTTTCAAAAAGCTACGTAAAGAGCTCCCATCACATATAAGAAAACGGTCCGTTAGGGCAAGGTTAACAGCTGACGCACCGGAAGATTTTAAAATTCAATTACGAACAAATCGACAAATGTTATTGATTCTACGATGGGAATTCTTCTCTTGACGGGTGTATTGTTATTCATGTCTAGGCTCAAGACCATGGCGCGCTCGCTTAAAACTCGCCATTTTATTACGTAATTTCGACTAAATATTATCAAACCGAATTGGATAAAATTAAGGTTCCCATCGGACAATTTTCTAGATTCTGTCTGCAGGGCAAAGAGTAGTCTGCCATTTGGAGTGTGTTGATTGTTTGAGGGTAGTAAGGGTTTTCAGAGAATCGCCCTTTAAAAGTGACTTTTATACCAGAAATGCCCAAATTTTTGTGTATTTTCAGGTGCAAGATGATAATACTTCTAGTGAATTGTACATTTTAGGAACAAATTGTAGATACACCTTCAATCTTCAAAAAGCCGTGCATTGATTTAGAAGTAAACACTTCTAAAACTCAGAGAAGTGACATTTACGAAGTCTAATGGATAAATTTTGGCCCATTTTCATTTTCGATAGTGCGTCTAGTGAAGCTCTGCGGCTCATTTTAGATCTTTTGTACTTCCGAGTCGCGTCAGACTATTCCTTGCTGATTAATATCAAGAACACAAATCTGAAACTCATTTGTCTGGAACAATATGCTTGTTAGTTGTTGAACGCAGCAAAATGACGATCCAGTTCGAGGAATACTGAGATTCTTTTTTTTTTTCTTATATTCCGAGTCAGTTTAGACGATTTGTCTTTTAATAAGACTCCTCCCCTGGTGTGTGTAATAAAAATAGGTAGGAAGCTGTAAGAATAACTTGTAGATGTTTGAAATGTTTACTTCTTAGATCGCAACTGAACCATGCAGTGCAGGACTAACCCTCGCAAACAGCTGTGAAAGAATTAAAATATCAAAGCATGAAAATTAGTTGTTCTTGAATTTCTGGTGCATCATTTCGACGCAGAAAAAAGAATGGAAGCGAAAAAAAAAAAGAAAAAAAAAAGAAAGAAAAAACAAGGAAAAATTAAATGACTAGAACTTGATTCAGTCGTGACTGGGTCTTGACTCGGGCTCGAGCTTGACTCGTGATAAGGCATAACTCCAGCCATACATGGGCATTTTTGTTATCTTTGTCATCAGTTAATACTAAGCATGGCATAGCCACAATCAAATGGTTTCACTACAGCCTAATACTGAAAAGGCGATAGCTATCTCTCCCCCCTTGAGTACAAGTAAGTATCACAACTCACTTAGTGGTTGCTACTACGATTTAAAGGTCTAATTAAGGCTTTAGGAAAGGGGCATTGGGGATTTTCGGCTTTGTGGTTTTGCCTATTTTTCAGATCGAGTTCTCGGGTTTTGTGCCAAAAATCTTGGGTTTTTCAGGTTTGGTGTTAATTTCGGTTTGCGAACTTTTCGTCTTTTAGCATTTGGTTTTCGGTTCTAGTAAAAATATTAACGGATTTCAGATTTGGTATCTGATGTGGTTTTTCGATTATTCCTATTCGGGTTCAAGTTTCTCTTCGATCCTTATTAGCAATTATGCGCCTCTACTGATCTCGAATAGGCGCGAAACATCATCTGTATGCTCCACTCGTTACCACTGCATCGGATGGATAAAGATTTTGATAAGTGGGATGTGAAAATTTATCGGTCTTGACGATTTTGCATGCGGTCTTTGTTTTGATCAAATTTTTTGCAGTTTCGATAATTTTTTACTACAATTTTGCGGTTTCTTATACATCCCAGTGCCCCCCACCCCCTCCCTCCTTTAGATAGTGGCTTGACATAGTCTATGCTATTAGGGGCTTAATTAATTGACTTAACTTTACTTTATCATAGAGTAAGTTTGTTAAAGGGGTATTCTATCATTAAGTGTAGAGGTATCGTTAGATGCTGCTAAGGAGCAATTCCCTTGTTTGAGGCCGTTAAATACATATAAATTATCAAAGGAAGCTTTTTTCTCTCTTTTCTCTGTTACATGGTGCGTGCTGTTATATTTCTACAAACGCAATTATCGTCTCATACTGTCTGCTCGTAGTTTCTCCCCTCCTCACTCCAGCTTTCGAGTAACTCGCGTGTGATCTTTTTAGGGAAGGAAGATAGACTTTCAGCTCTCAATTCTTGCCTGATTACAAAACTGGTGTACGTATGGAGTGGAAAATGTTTCACTATTTTAGATCGAGATAACAACCTTTACCTGATAAGGTTGAGTATTCTGAATACCTGTTTGCTGGATAATGTACGGATCTTGTAGAGAGAAGTTACAAGTGCGGTTAGTCACTTTTGGGAGTTAAAAGGTTAAAATAAATTTTTGATCACGATGAAAGTGATATTCTATCCAATGTTTTACTCGTGATCACTTGCAATATTTTTATATTTCCTCCGTATATCTTTATTTCTCACCCCATTAACAGAGAGGTTGGCCTACGATCTCATTGGTGTTTCCAAATAATATAACCTACCTGATCGAATCGACGACTAAAGCTGCGCAATTCTGTGCAAAGCGTGACATTTGTGAGTATGTATGAAGTAACTACTGAGACACTTAACTTGCTGACCTCATGAATCACGTAGCGAGCTAAATATAAACCAGCAGCAACTGACCACATATTCTTCAGTTGGCGCTGAATGATTAAGCTAATGACATGGCTGTTCAAAAGCAAAGTTCACCCTACTTTGCCTCCATCATTTCGGTGTTTTCGATTGTGTTTTACTGTGTCGGATTTATTAGAGTTGAACTGGAGTTAAACCAGCACAAGAACAGATTAAATAATCTTGAAAGGGATACAGGAAGCAAGCTGCCATCTAACGACCGCGAAGACATTGCACTCGTCCAAAAAGGTCTTGGTGAGTTTTTGTTGATGACAAAATGAAGTATTGTAGCTCATTCAATATCGGTCTTCGCATCTGTGTTACTGATATATCTAAAAAAGTGAGATGGTGTAGGGTCCTTAACCAATTCTTCGACAGGGAATTTTGTGAGAGCTTCAGCCAAATCGGCTTTTACATCACAAGCACGTGTAGATATATTCGGAGGAGTTAATTGAAAGGACGTTAGTCCCATCTGTTTAGGTTGGCTTCCAGTAGTAAAAATATGAGGGGAATGCTAAAAAATAGGAAAATCCGAGAAGTCAAAATCTAAGCATTTGAAAGCTTCCTCTCTACTGATGGAAACAAATTCGAATGTTCTAGATTACGTGTATTCACCTTCACAGGAAAAACTGTGAAGCAAATACTTTCAGGAAGTGGAATGTTGTGTGTACGTGCTCTGACTGCTTCCCGTTTGCTGAAGGCTAACAGGTCAAGTTCCTTGCAGAATGAAAGTTTCAGCTGAAAAATTTTGATATATGGGCAGTTTATAGTCTATAAATCATTTTTTCATCCTAAACAAATATATATCGCAACATGAAATGTTACGTACCCTGTGACTCAGTCCTTGGCCGATACGTTCCAAAAGTTTTTTTCTTCTCAGTTTTCCGTCTGCTGAGGTAAACAAATCGACGTTCTTGAGGTCAAACTTTCGACAATTTGGTGCAGTCAATTAATCCTACTGAAGATAACCAGAAAATGTGTCTTGGAAAATATTGTTTGGTGAATAAAAAGCTTGTTTGTCTAAAGGAGTTTGCGTTCCTAATTAGGAATAAATCTTAAAAAAAAGGCTGAAAGGCTGGCAGGTCATGTTATTTTCGATAACGTGCGGAAAGCTTCTGCTGAAAATTTTTTGAACTAGTTAAAAGGTCCGGATATCACTAAACAAATATGTTGCAACGCAGTATTCATACAACTCCCTTACTAAGTGAAGCATTTCTTGGTTTTACGATGTAAATGTTTTTCTTTTTACTAAGTTTCCAGTCCGCTGAGGCAAACAATTCCACTTCCTTAAGGTCACGCTTTTGAAGAGTCGGTATAGTCTGGCTAAGGATAATTAAAGGATGTTCTTAACTTCTCGGTTCTGCAATAAAAGTTTTTTATTCGCACACACACTAATCCAAGTAATAATAATACGTAGAACCAACTCACGAGTTTTATACTTGCTAGGATTTTGCATATATTACGGTTACACTACATTGACAAACATTTCTATTGTGATAAGACGGGCGGCGTGAATAATGGCGCGAATGAATTGCTGATCTATGCAACATGTCTCCCCTTATAAAACAAACCTTAGGCCTTAACTGAAACGTTGAAACTAGTTAAATTGTCTCTGTAAGTCTTTTAGGTCTTGTAATCACACATCTTGGTCGTTCGCTGCTACTACTCTCGACAGGTATCGGAGTAATCGCTTGTGCTGAACAAATGAAGCGACGATTCCTCATTAAGTGGGCTCCCTTAGTAGTTTCGACACTGTACGATCTTGGTTGAGACGCTACTGGCGTTTTGGTAACGGTTGTTGGAGTCCATTGGTTATATTGGGGGGGAACTTGTACGTACACTCTCTGATTCTGTGGCAAAGAAGGTAGATCCCTTGCAGTTTTGTTGTAGTGTTCGCACATTTTGTTTTTGTCTTTCACCATTTGCTCTCGGACAGCGTGGTAGTGAGGATTCTGGATAGGGATTTGGTGGGAAGTAATGCCCTGTACTTTCGTCCATTGAATAGCTCTGCAGGTGACGGTATGGTGGTAGTAAGGGGTGTGACTCTGTGGACCAACATAGCTAAGTTTGGATCATGTCCTGCGGCTGCACATTTTCTCATGCACCGCTTGACCGTCGGCACCATACTCTGCGGGTAACGAGGGCTAGACGTGATGTGGTCAAAGCGGCATTGGTTTGCAAAGGCTGAAAATTCCTTCGACGAGAATGGGGGGCCGTTGTCTGTCATAACGGTTTGAGGCACTCCATATTCGCTAAACACTTGCTTCAGAATTTCGGTGGTAGCGCTCGCGTTGGTGCTTCGTACTTTCCTGATAACGGAAAACCTACTGTAGTAGCTGCTATCAAGAGGTAGGTTGTAGACTGAAACTCGAAGAAATCAATTCCTAACCTCTCCCAAGGTCCTTGAGGAACTTCATGGGGCAACAGCGTCTCGCTTTGTTGGCTTCTCGAGAACGTCAGGCACACTTCACAACCTTGTGCTGTCTGTAATAAATCTGAGGTTATTCTTTGCCAGAATACTGCTTCTCGGGCTCTTAGTTGCATCTTCTCAAAACCAAAATGACCCTCGTGGATAGTTTGGAGGACTCTGCTACGCAATTCCCCGGGAACTATGAGTCGATGGCCTTTGAACAGTAGACCATTCTCTGCGCTGTTCTCTTCTCTGTAGCTCCAATAGTCTACAAGAGGTGGGTGGTAATCTTTCTTTAATTCAGGCCATCCATTTGCTACCACTTGCATCAGTAAGACGGAAATAGTGTCTTCTGCAGTTGCGCGTTTGAAATCTCCAACTCTCGTAGAATCGGCGGGGATTACCTCTGTGAGCTTGTGAACTGGGATGAAATCTTCCTCGTATTTTCCTTCTTTAGGTGTTTGCTGAGGAGACACTCTAGACAGTGCGTCAGCTACGACATTATCCTTGCCTTTCAGGTATTCAATGTTTACGTCATACTGGGATAGTCTCAGCAATAGCCTCTGAAGGCGTGGTTGGTAACACACTATGGACTTCTCCCACACGCTGACCAATAGCTTGTGATCTGTTTGCACCGTCGCTGTGTATCTATACACATAATGATGAAATCTTTCAAGAGCAAACACAACACCGAGCAACTCTCGCTCAATGTTAGAGTAAGATCGTTCCGTCTCAGTGAGGGCTCTTGATGCGTAGATCACAAGCCTATCATCTTGGATTAGAACTGCTCCTAAGCTTCCTGGATGCGTCTGACTGAATAGTGCTAGCTTTAGACTGATCAAAGTATGCCAACACTGGTGCACTTGTAATTTCTTTCTTGATAGCCTCGAATGCTTTTTGTTGTGAGCTTTCTCAGGTAAAGAGAGTGTCCTTCTTACAGAGCGTTCTAAGCGGTGCTGTTAGATCTGCCAGTGCTGAACTGAACCGGTTTAGGTAGTTCACCAGCCCTAGGGAGCTTTGCAGATCTTGAAGGTTCTCTGGTGGTTTCATCTCAGTGATGGCTTGTACTTTTTTTGGGTTCATCTCGTACCCGGCTGGGGTGAGACTTCCTCGGAAGAATGCACAATCTTGAGATTTGAACACAAATTTGTTTGCATTGAAAGTGGGATTGTTAACTCTCGCTGTTTCAAGCAGGGTGATGACTGCAACGTCATGGGTAGTTTCTTCATTGCCGTGGCAAAGGATATCGTCAACGATTCCAACGCTATTGGGGACACTTTTCAGTACTCTGTCGATTCTTTCTTGAAAAACATTTCCCGATACCTTTAGCCAAAAGGGTAGGCGTAGCCATCGGTACTTGCCCCAGGGTGTATTGAAAATTGTCAGGTAACTGTTTTATTTGTCAAGAGAGACATGCCAATATCCAGATTTCGCGTCAAGCAAGCTGAAATACTTCGAATCTGCTAATTCCGGTAAGATGTCATCGACTGTTCTGCTGTACCACTGATTCCTCTTTATCACTCGGTTGAGATCTTTTTAGATCAAGACATAGCCGTAAGGAACCATCTGGTTTCTTAACTGGAACAATCGAGTTAATCCATTCAGTGTGCTCCCTTACTTCTCTAATGACTCGAAGCTGTGTCAATCTCTCCAATTCTGCAATTGGCAACGGAAGTTGCCAACATTCAAATCTTAATGGAAAATGTCTTGGAAATAGCAAAAATGACTGGCGAGGAGTCAGGTTGTACTACTGGTACAATAGTGATCTTTCAGTGAAGTTTGCTGAAATAAAAATCAGGCCGAAATCATAGAAATGTGCTATCATATGCGTCGCAGGAGTTTTATTCAGATTCATTATTGTTTGCATTAAAGGGCAGCAAATAGACAATAGGAAAAATTTTCTCAAGTTTTTTTGAGTGAAAATGTTTTTCTGAGATTTAATGCAAAACTTTTACTAGGTAAACCCTGCCGATCATATTTTTTTTCACTAACGTTATGACGCTGCAATGAATTGTGCGAGAAAAAATTAGTTAGCTTAACTGATTAACCATATTATGATTTAAATCAAATCCTTCAACCAGTTTCTAATATTTTTCCGTCGCTTAAAGCTGAGTTTTTTTAAATCAAAATCAGAGACATTTATAAAAAGGGCTGTTAAGTATGTGATATACTACAAGTAATACAACTGCAAAAGGAGCGATGGAAGAAAACTAAAGGAAACACATTAACATCACGTGTTTCTGTGTCCATTTTTTCATTTCATGTCACGAAAGTGGCCCGATCTTTATAAACTTCCATGCGCATTTAATAATTTTGACTTTTTGTTCGCACACATTCAGTAAAGGATGGCTCTATTCTCCTTGAATGTTGATCTTGCAGTCACGCAATGATCTGAAAACAAGCTTCTAGAACTAACCGTAGGACATCTTTGAGTTAGATTACGAGTGATACGCAAAAATAAACGGATGTTTTCGATGGCTCGTATTTACCTAAGTTATGAGGTAAAAAAAACCTGGCTGAGGTACTCAATAACCATTCGCTCTTAATTCTGATGATTGGTTCAAGGCTTTACGATTAACGAAAAGAAAACGGGATATTTCAGTGTTCACTTAAGATGACTGCTGATACACTAAACTTCCTGACCTTTGGTAGATCACTGTGTGTGGAGGGGACGGGGGGGAGGAGACGGAGTTCAGGCGAACAGGGAGCGGTAGATCAAGGGCGGAAGCGGGACCTACCTGAGGGCGGGAAGCGGAAGCAGAAATTGCAAAAGGCATTTGTTTGTTGTTTATTGCTGCTTATCATCCAGTTTAAAAAACCTAGCAAGGTTTTTTTTTACCTCCAT